TTCTATAGCCTTCGATGAAAGAAATGGCAACCTACTGCGGAAGAAAAATCTGCCTCGTCAGTCATGTATCGAATGGCGCATAACTATTAACTCTTAATGCATCGAAACACATGATATTTGAAGTAACGTATGAATTGGAAGTTTGTTGATTGAAAAAATGGAGGGTTACATTAACGAAAGGAATAAGAGTTCTAAAACGAACGTTATTAATCACAAATGAAATTTCACGAGATAGACTGAATCCTCGACAATGAAATGCTGTGTAACTTAATTTTAACGACTCTCTCATCGCTGATCTAGGAATGACATGAGTAATGGTTTTTAATGGAACCGGAAATTGGCAGGAGAGGAAAACGTCTCCATTTTCTTTTTTTTTCCTATCTGCCAACTTACTTATCTGGAAAGTAAATTCTCTGATACAGATGGACACTGTCAATTGGTTTCTGACTTTCTTGCCAGAAATTTATTTCGGGAAAAAGAAGTTTCTGTAAAGAAATTTAATTCTATTAAATCTGGTGGACGCCCTGTCGGCTGGGGCTGTAGAGTTCGTACACTAATCCTCTGCAAAGAACTATGACACCCTGAGCCCAGAGTATAGAGATAAACTACATTCGACAGCAAGATCGCTGATCGAACGATTGGAGGTTTTGAGGAGAGTGGAAAAACCTCCTAATTGCTGTTGTTCCTCAGTCCTCCATGTTGGTAGCACTTGTTGACAAACGCTGAACCCCCAAAATAAACAAATATAGGAAAGTATAAAAATATTTTATAGTATAAACAGTAGAAATACATTAAAAAGCATTATCAACACTACTATAAAATGACAACCAATACGACACTATAATGCATAAAAATACATTATTACAGTAATTGCATCCCCAGTGCAATAAGAACTGGCAACTATTCTGCCCTGAATATCACCCTGAACCACATTAAGAAAAGCGTAATTTAGAAAATATAGGATGCGACGCAAAAATGAAAATAATACTGACATTTCATTTTAACAGATATATTTACCAAAATTACACAAAACTATCTTGAAATACTGTTGTGGATTTATTTCGCAGTGGTGGCTTGTATTTGTACTAATCGGTCCTAAAATAGGTTCGACGTACAAAAAGGTTAGGAAATTTGGTATTACGCAGAGTAATCTTGTAATGGTCGCTGACTACTTTCGTATTCGATTAACTGTCGTCCGACATCGACGCTATTTAGTAACTGCCCCACGCAATCACATGTGGCACAAGGCCGAATTTAATGTGCGGTTCCCGAGCCCGTAGGCTCGGCCAAAAAATCTCCGTAGACCTCGCATAAACGGGATCGGGTCTGTCGACCTCCCCGGACGAAACTCTGCCCTTCGGCATAGCCTCGTCCGGGTTCGACATCGACGATATTTAGTCACCCCCCCACGAAGGCCTCATGTGGCACAAGGCCAGTTTAACGTGGGATCTCCGAGCCAGTGGGCTCGGCCAAAAATACGCCCATTGAACCCGTATAAACGGGTTCAGGTTCGGTTTACCTCCCCGAAAGAGAATCCGCCTTTCGGTGTAGCCTCTTTCGGGTTCCTCCCCGCCCGAAGGCAGAGAGTTCAACCGATCAGCCGGTCGTCCGACATCGGCTGACTGACTCTATTACTACTACTTATATTAGGTGGGAGAGTCTATTAACTATATAATAGGTGTGTTTCACCATAATAAATACTGAAGAGTAATTTTAGTCAATAAAATCCCCATTGGCTGTAACCCCGGACTCCATAAGACTTCGGAATCTCCTTCATTTCTTCTGGACGTTCTCCTTGGTGAATGCTGCCATAATCCCTGACTTCAATTCATCATTGTCGTTACAAGGATTTTTGTTGGTTTCTCACTCAACTGCACCCCATACATAATAATCAAATGGGTTGTAGACTCGGGAGCTAGGTAGCCAAATATAAGCGGTGATGTGGTCGCAGAAATTGTCTAAAAGCCATGACTGGGTTCTCCTGCTTGTGCGTCATGGTTTAGAGTCCTGGTGCCAGACATAGTGTCTTCCGGCACCCATCTTCTTGACCCAGGATAACACTAGATCCTCAGTGTAAGAATCATTGTTGAGTTTGAAGCCCTGTGTGAAGATGAATGGAGGCATAACGTCGCTATCACTATTGAATAATCTAAAATCCATGATGTTGACTGGATATATCATTCAACTCTTTCCGAACCTTCGGCACTGTCCTCAGATTGACATCCAAACACTCTGAAATATTCGCAATGCGTTAATGCCAAGCAGTACAGCATACTGTTTCCATATTTATCGGCGAATCAGTTGCGTCATGGTGCTTTTATTCTCACAGATGGTGTCCATCTGAGCCGACTCTACTGTGCGGTCAGTAAAGTAAAAAAACAAAGCGCATGCGCGAAATTAAAAATATAGCGACAATTTACCCATCGCACAGTCTAGTTGAATAATGTAGTTAATATAACCCTGTGCAAAGGGTAAGTTTTAAGCAAACTAGAAATTACCAGGAATTTGATATTTACAATAGACACTCGAAATTTCTGGCACAGATGATAAAGATAGGAGACCGAGAGACTTTAACATGAGCCATTAAATGCTACAAAAACAAAGGAAACAGTGTGTAACTGAGTTAACGAAATCGTATCTGTGTTGTGTAATGGTTACTCTTGACCAATACTACTGTACAGTGAGTTCGATCCTAGGTGTCGCACAGAAAATTCAGCATTAAATAATACAGCAAGACTTGACATATTGTAAAGTGAAGCGGCTTATCGGGTTTCAGTGAATGGATGGAAAAAATAGGAAAAACAGGGATGATAAAAGAGACAGATTAAGTTAACACAATAAAAACAATCCAGTAAGGTATAGGGAGACATGATTGCCCCACGCCCGGAAAAGATAAAGCACAAGAAGCAGATAAAGGTAGCTGCAAATGTTTGCAAGGCTTTCTCGTGCTCAAAGTATTCAATAGTTTTATAACTTGTCCAATAAGTCAACAGGTTTTTTTTTTCGTTTCTAGATGGGGAATCTCACTCATGAGAAAAGAACATGAGTCAATATTAAAACACTTACCATTCCCTTTTTGCTCGGCACTGAAAAGGAAAAAAAAAATAACAAAATAGACATCTTCTGACAGGATAAGTGCTGACGATGAAAAATGGATTTTTTACGAGAATCCAGAAAGAAGAAAATCTGCCTTCAGCATTTCGATCTTAATCTATAAGAGACAGGAAACAAAAAAGAAAAAAAATGACCTTTTTTTTTCAATAGTTAAATAAGAAAGGAAAAATAGAAAGATTTGATTCGCGTTTTTATTGAAGACGGCTCGTATATTCCAGGTTAGACAGCAGATGTTATAAATTATTCTTTTTAATGGGCCATCCCATAAATTCCCAAGTTGGCATCTACGCGGATGACACCACAATTTACTCCAACCTCAAAAACAAATCTAGTGTCGCTGACAAAACTAACCTGGCCGTGCGTTTTGAAAAGGAACTCCAATCGGTTGTGAACTGGGGCAGGAATTGGCTGGTCAAATTTAATGCCTCAAAAACAAAACTGTTCTCTATTAATCACCACAGATACCCTACCCTGCCCTCCATTAGAATGTCTGACGCTCAACTTCTCGAGAGCACATCTCAGCGGCTGCTCCGTCTCACGTTGACTGCTGACCTGAGATGGAACAAATACATTGAGTCAATTGCTTCGTCCACCGCAAGGAAAGTTGGCTCCCTGTGCCGAGCTAGGAATTTTTTCTCCCCGGAATCGATCCTTCAGATCTACAAATCAACAATTCGCCCTTGCATGGAGTATTGCTGCCATATATGGTCTGAATCCCCTTCTGTTTGCCTCGGGGATCTTGATAAGCTCCAGAGGCGGATATGCAATATAATTGGCCCTGTTCTGGCATCTCGTCTACAGTCGCTCTCTCACAGACCCGCCGTCGACTCTCTGTCTTTTTTTACAAATACTTTCATGGCAATTGCTCCGAGGAGCTGCATTCGCTGGTTCCCAGACTTCATGAGTTCAAGCGCCCTACGAAGCTGGCATCCCGCTCTCACCCTTTCACTGTCGAAACTAATAAATGTAGCCGTCTCTTCTACTCCAGTAGCTTCATGTCTCGCACCTCTCGCCTGTGGAAATCCCTTCCCTATTCCAGTTTCCCTGAGAGCTATAATCTCCAACTATTTAAATATAATGTCAATCGACATCTCCAGTTGCCTTGATCTATCCACTACCCTTCTCCTCATCCTTTCCTCTATCACTCCTGCTCCAAATCTTCTGTAACCTCTTGCGTCCTAGTAGCTTCCCGCCTTGATTGGGGTGAAACGTTTAAAAAAAAATCTCCTTTCAGGACGTGCGCGAACGATCCGTATAAAAGTGGGAGTCCCACGGTGAGAACTAGGGTGGAAAAACTGCTCAATCTTCTTATGTATCTCCCCCTTTTTTTATAGACGCCGCGGACATCAGGAACTAACCCTAGCTCCCTTCTGAAGGATTGATTGATTTTGTTTTCCACGGCTTATCAACCCTTAGCTGGTTATTTAAACGCAGAAATATTTTTTTATCATATGATTTTTTTGAGATAATAATTTGTTAGTGATACAAGGCTTACAAATTAACCCATAGATGGAGGGAGAAGAGATGGATTCATAGCTTTCCCAAGGGTATTTTCTCGAATTAAATATAACGAACGCAACCGGAATTGGAACTCGGTTCTTCGATTATCAATTCCGAAGCATTGTCCACTAAACCACCTGCACAGCCAATCTGATATTTCAAGCTGATTTTAGTTTATAAGACTTTTTTTTAGATAATAATGTTTCAGTGATACAAGTCTTACTATTTAACCCATGACTAGGGGGAAAACATGTGGATTCATACATTTCCAACAGTTTTTATTAAGCGTAAGAGAATGAAACGAAAAAACTGAAATTGAAACCCGGCTCTCCGCTTAACAACCCCGAGCCATTATTCAATACACCACTCGCATATCAACGATCAGAGCAACTTATATTCCCAAGTGGTTACCCATCTAGATATTAACGAAGGTCAACGTTGCTTAACGTTGGTGATCGCACGGGAAGCGGTGTTTCAACGTGCTATGATCTGAACAAGAGGTACTACCTAGGTTGAAGACCCCCTTATAAGGATATCTTGTAAGAGCTGACCGTGGGGGTTGATAACTCTCCACGACTTCTTATTGGTTGTGGGTCTAACTAACGTTTTCTTTTCTACCATACCTCTCAAATCCAGTACTGCTACCCATTCACAAAAGCAAAGGCGCCTCAGGTACGTGGCCAATTGCTTCCCCTGGTTCCTTTTGCTTTTATATCACAAGAGTGACAGTCTCGATCGCAACGAATGTCGATGAAGACGCTCTCCCTCGACGTCGCCCTGTTGTTTTCTTTCCGCCAAACTAGCTTCTCTCCGGCGGTGAGTGTCAGTTTCTTGCTTCAGCCCTCGGTGTAGATCTCATCACCAACGGGAGCGATCGTTGGTGTCGCCGTCCCATCTCTCGACGTCTATATCCATCATCCCCATGTCCCCTTTTTCAGGTGCCGTTAAAGCAATGATGAGACTGTTTTATGAACGTAAGAATGGAGGGTCTGTTTTATATATGTAAGAATGGGGGGGCTGTTTTATGAATATAAGAATAGGGGGGGCTGTTTTATGAATGTAAGAATAAGGGGCTGTTTTATGAATGTAAGAATTGGGCGGGGGCTGTTTTATGAATGTAAGAATAGGGGGCTGTTTTATGAATGTAAGAATAGGGGGATGTTTTATGAATGTAAGCATAGGGGGACTGTTTTATGAATGTAAGAATTGGGCGGGGGCTGTTTTATGAATGTAAGAATTAAGGGGGGCTGTTTTATGAATGTAAGAATAGGGGGCTGTTTTATGAATGTAAGAATAGGGGGCTGTTTTATGAATGTAAGCATAGGGGGCGGTTTTTATGAATTGGGCAGGGGGGCTGTTTTATGAATGTAAGCATAGGGGGGCTGTTTTATGAATGTAAGAATAGGGGCTGTTTTATGAATGTAAGAATAGGGGGGCTGTTTTATGAATGTAAGAATTGGACGGGGACTGTTTTATGAATGTAAGAATTGGGCGGGGGGGCTGTTTTATGAATGTAAGAATAGGGGGCTGTTTTATGAATGTAAGAATAGGGGGCTGTTTTATGAATGTAAGAATAGGGGGCTGTTTTATGAATGTAAGAATTGGGCAGGGGGCTGTTTTTATGAATGTAAGTATTGTACTTTATGTGGATATGTAAGATAGATTACAGTTGATCTTTGATGTCTGTGACAACTGCTTCCCGCGGTTCATTTTGCTGTTGAGTAACACATTTTACAAGCATCTCATTTCTTATTATATGTCCAAAACATTTCATACTAAAAGCTTGTTCTTTCGCATCTCTCGCCTGTGGGACTCACTTCCGGCTTATTGCTTTCCATTTAAGTATGATTTTGAAAAAAGTAAATACAATACCAATCGTTATCTGTCTATATTTCTGAGATGAAGCATTCTAATTATTTACATTATTTACATTGTTCTGACTGTTTTCCTCATTTTTAATTTAAATGCAACTAGAACAATCTACCCCGTTCCATTCCATTCACCTGACGAAGGCCGGAGCGTACAACATCCGAAACGTCGTGAACATGAAAATAAAAATGAGGCCAACAGTCTGAAAAATATAAATAATGTAAATAACAATTAATTTCTGTTTTTTTTTTAATTGTTCTTGTTCCTTAATAATATTTTCCTTTCATTTTTTCTTATATTGTTTCGCAATTATGAAAGCCTTGTGTCTTAGTGGCTTTATTGCCGGTGAAATTAGAAAACAGATGTTTTCGTGCTTTCAGATGATGCATCGTTAAAGGTAATATTTTAACTGGCGTGCGACGATGGTTAATGAGCCATTCTTGAAGATTTTTAGTAGTGCATTTAATCCACATCGTTCGCCTCCTTTAGCGCCAAACGAAAGATAAGCTACCTTCCCTCCCGCAAGAAATATAATGAAAATATTCAGTATTTGTTTTTTTTATTCGTGTAATTATTCGACTGGACGAAATATTTGACATTTATTTCATAAATCATTCCCATGATATCCCGGATTCAAACAACAGCTTGGCTGAAAAGATTTACGTGCCTAGATCAATAATCAGGCATAGAATTGAACACTGTCGTTTCTTTCCGGCTTATCTAACAGTATTGCGTCTTCAGAATGTAAATTCCCAAGGAAGACGCTTAAGCAAGAAAGGGTCGTGTATATAATTATTATAATCATAAGATTAACAGTTTCCATACCGGAAAAATAAACATTCATTGACCGAACATTTAGCGTTAGTATCTTTTTTTTTTTAAGCATTTCACCCCAAGCAAGGCGGGAAGCCACTAGGACGCAAGGGATTACAGAAAATTTAGAGCAAGATCAGATAGGAGTGATAGAAGAAAGGATGAGTGTAGTGGAAACTGGAGATGTCGATTGACATTACACTTGAATAACTGGAGATTGTAGCTCACAGGGAAACAGGAATAGGGAAGGGAGTTCCACAGGCGAGAGGTGTGAGACATGAAGCTATTAGAGTAGAAGAGACGGCTACATTTAGGAGTTTCGACAGTGAAGAGGTGAGAGCGGGATGCCAGCCTCGTAAGGCGCTGGAACTCATGACCTCTGGGAACCAGCGAATGCAGCTCCTCGGAGCAATTGCTATGAAAGTATTTGTAGAACAGACAGAGGGAGGCGACGGCGCGTCTGTGAGAAAGTGACTGTACACGAGACGCCAGGGCAGGGCCAACCACATTGCATATCCGCCTCTGGAGCGTATCAAGAACCCCGAGGCAAACAGAAGGGGCACCAGACCATATATGGCAGCAATACTCCATGCAAGGGCGAATTGTTGATTTGTAGATCTGGAGGATCGACTCCGGGGAGAAAAACTTCCTGGTGTGGCTCAGGGAGCCAACTTTCCTTGCGGTGGACGAGGCAATTGACTCAGTGTATTTATTCCATCTCAGGTCAGCAGTCAACGTGAGACCGAGAAGCCGCAGAGAGTTGCTATCGAGAAGTTGAGCTTCCAGACATTCTAATGGAGGGAAGGGAAGGATCTCTGCGGTGATTAATAGAGAGCAGTTTTGTCTTAGAAACGTTGAAGTTGACCAGCCAATAGTTAAAAAATGTTCCGCTTAAAATGTTCTATTATCAAGAAAATAGATTTTACAAGTCTACTGTTATTGTAATGATAAGAATTCCAATCCTAAAATTTAATCTATAACAACAGAATTTTTGTTTGTTTGTTAAACTTCTTTGTGATTTTCTAGACAGAGTCTATAAGATCTGATTAAGCATTCTCTTCTTTAAGACCTCGAGAATTGCTCAGCTTGAAGACTTTTTAACGAAGTCTGCAAGTGATATGTTTTATCTTATTGGTTGAACGTCTTTGTGATTATCTAAAAACAGTCTATAAGATCTGATGAAGCATTTTTAAGAACTCGTAAATTCCTCAGCTTGAAGCATTTTAACGCAGTCAAGTGATGCGTTTTATCCTATTTCTTGAACATATTTGTGATACTCTAGAGACCGTCTATAAAATCTGATGAAGCATTGTCTTATTTAAGACCTTGACAATCCCTCAGCTTGAGCCCTTTTTTTAATCAAGTCTTCAAATGATGTTTTTTTTTCTTATTTATTAAAGGTCTTTGTCATTCTCTAGCGATAGTCTTTAAAATCTGATGAAGCATTGTCTTATTTATGACCTCGACAATCCCTCAGCTTGAAGCCTTTTTTTAATCAAGTCTTCAAATAATTTTTTTTTCTTATTTGTCTTTGTGATTATCTTACGATAGTCTGTAAAATCTAATGAAGCATTTTCTTCTTTAAGACCTCAATAATTCCCCAGCTTAAAACCTCATTTAAGCAAGTCTTCGAATAATTTGCTTTTGTTAAAGTTTTTGTCTGTGATTATGTTGCGGCAGTCTATAAGATCTTATACGGCATTGTCTTCTTTTAGACCACGGCAATTGCTTGACATGAATCCTATTTAATAAAGTCTTCAAATGTGTTTTATCTTATTTATTAAACTTTTTTTTGTGATTCTCTAGAGACGGTCTATAAATTCCGATGGTATATTGACTTATTTAAGAATTCGACAATCCTTATGTTTGAAGCCTTTTTTAAATAAAGTCTTCGAATGATGTGTTTTTTTCCTATTTGTTAAAGACCGATTTGATTCTATAGCGATAGTCTATAAGATCTGATAAAGCATTGACTTTTTTACGATATCGACAATTCTCATTTTGAAGCCTTATTTAATCATCTCTTCAAATGATGTGTATTTTTTCTGATTTGATTAAGTTCTTTGTTTGGGATTCTTTTGCGACAGTCTATAAGATCTGGTGAGGCATTGTCTTCTTTTAGATCACAACAATTCCTTAGATTTAATCCTTTTTTTTTAATTCTTTTATTTCTTAAATTGTTTCACCACAAGCAAGGTAATAATACCACCAATGCACAAAGAATTACTGGGCGAGAAAAGAATATGAAAACTTTAGAATAAATAACCGGAAACCCAATCCTGAACAGGAAAAAAACATGAACTTCTTTTCCTGTTCAAAAGACGGGGAACGAGCATAAAACGGGCGAAAAAGACGGTTTTATACAGATGATAGGTTATAGATTTTGGTGTGAGTTTTGCACCTTGCCTGTCATCCATATATGAATCTAGATATGTCGACGGTAGTTAATGAAGTCTTCAAGTGATATGTTTTATCTTATTGTTTGAACTCGTTTGTGATTCTCTAGAAACAGCCTTATAAGATCTGATGAAGCATTCTTTAAGAACTCGATAATTCCTCAGCTGGGAGTATTTTTAACGAAGTCTTCAATTGATGTGCTTTATCTGATTCTCTTTAGTGGGGAGAAAGGACACTAAACGAACAGGTTTCAAAAGACAGAAGACTGGGTTTGAGGTTCATTTACATTTTTGAAGATTGTAGTTGGCGAGAAAACCAGAAACGGAAAGCGAATAGCAGTGGCGGGAAGTACGAAAAAATACTATTAGAATTTAACTTATGGCTACAACTAACTATTTCAAATTTAAACGA